AATCAAAGGTGTTAAAATTGAAGGAATGGAAACTGAGGGCACTGAAGAAGTTGATGATATTTTTAATGGCAAGCATAGGGTGATGATGCATTTTCTCTACAGCAGACTTGTATCATTTTATTTTGGGTCTACCCTTACATTTGTTAATTGGCAGATTAGCAACTGTGAAATTATTGTCTCTGTCATCTCTATCATCATCAGATTCGTTAGTTGACAGGTTGTCTTTGTTATTATTTGCTAGAAAATGCTTTTTTTGATCAATAAATGTGTTCAACCATTGTGTCATTTCATCATCATTACAGTTGACTGCAAGCTGTGTGGCTTGCCGAGCAAGACCCCATAATTCACCATATTTTAAACACCAAGCTGCAGTACATCAATCACTTATCATTACTAAAGGAGGTATAGTGGCTGGTTGGGAGGTAATTTGAATGATTTTGTTTTGTTGAAAATGAGCAGCATGCTCATTTACAAAGATAATATTTAATTGATCATTTGCTTCTTTTTTATCATCACAATACCAATGAGTTGCTATCATTCTTATATGAAATCTGGCAATTTGTGATACTAGTAAAACCTAAAAGAATGTCGACATATAACACCCTGAGAAATATTGGATATACATGTACATAGATAAGAAACAAAATTCATGACAATGATAAAATAGTTTCACCGATTATTGGCTGGTCATTTATTTTCAATCTGCCAGATTTCTTAAATATTGTCTTTATTTACTTTTTCGACTATTGATTTTAGTAAAATTTGTCTCACATCATATAAATCCTCTATAAATTTGTCACCTACACTTTGATCCTAATAATAGAACATACCTGTAGTTAGTAACTTAACATATTAACATTATTCAGATATTAATCAATCCAATATTACTAGTTACAAAATCGAACATAATTTTAAAATTTTGAACTACCTATGTAATTAAAAAAACAAATGAAAAAAATAAAAAGTAAAAAAAACTCATCATATAAACTGATTCTTTCAAAATCAACCAATATGGCATTATAATATAGACATTGTGCCATTTCCATGCATTCTACTGAAAGAATATGTGAAGTTAAATACTCTGATATTTTTTGATCGATAGTAGGGAATATTTCACTTTCAACAGAAGTGATTTTGATACAATTTGATAGCATCTGATATTCAAAAAAACAATTTCATTTAGCCTCTTTCTCAAGTCGAGAGTCTAAGACCTTAACCAAGTCACATAGGCTAGTATTACTATATAGTGCTTGTTTAATAATATGATTATATTCTTCTATATGTAATGTTGTTTGAATACACTTTAGATGTAAAAGCACATGCCATGCATGACGGTTAGAATAAAGAATTCAGTTCAGATAGCTTATGGCAGAAGAATACTTTTGTAATAAATTTTGCTATCTTTTTTCTAACAGTGCCTCATTCAGAGTATTATAGCAATTAAAAAATTCTTTAATAAATTGATCATACATGTTGGCTAATATAGATTTGAGATTCTTTGAAAGATTTTGATTTATATGATAAATACAATATAATGACTTAGTTGTTAAATATACTTGTTTAAGGGCACTATCTATTGCTGGATCAGCATCTGTAATAAAAACTAATGGTTTAACACCTGTAACCCTTTTAGTACAATGAAGAATCCATTGATAAGTGTCAACTGTCTTGTCGGATATCAGTGCTTGTGCTACTAAACGTGATCTGATATTATTATTAACAATAAAAAACAAGCTAAGAGGCATTGAGAATGATATCATGGTACTCGAGCCAATACTTGTTCAGATGTCATCTAGAAAAGCCAAATTAGATGATTGTTAGTATCTAACTCAAACTCAACAATCTATCTTGATTCTTCAGACTGTTTTTTGGTAAGAAATGAAAAAAGCTGTGAAGTATCTGATTATTCAAGATTTCTATATTTACTCTTAAAATATTGAATAGTATTTGCAAAGTCTTTATCCAAAAAGGTCATATCTGAATATCTGCCTTTTAACAATTAATGCTGTATGGTAATTGAAAGATTTTTATTTTTGGTATAAAAGTCAATTTCATTCATTGCATCCTTTTCAATTGATCTAAATTTAGGACTATATTCACTGATCTTTGATTAAGTTTATGGTTGTGTTCATTGGCGAATATTGTGACTGTGATACAAGTAGCACCTATTAGGAAACTTAAATTTATATACCACTCACATCTCTGGCACTTGGATCGTCATTTACGATGAATATTAATATCTATATTTATTTTTGTTTGTATACTTCCCTGCATTCACACCTATATGATCGATGATTTATTGTACTATCTTTGTGGTATCCAACCCTTATTTTGACGATAGCAAATCTGAATTGTCAGCCATAAGCTTCAATAAAAAAATTAACATTGTTCCAACTCTGAAATGTGTAACCAACACTTAATAATAAAAGATCACAATACGGTATTTCAATTTCTCTTGAAAGAACTGTTATTAAATTTATTGTTAGAACATATAAACCATATTATGATCAGTTTCTAGTTAAATAGGACTCCGAACAATCTATAAACAGCTAACAATTTGCAAAAATTACTAAAAATAGAAGGATCAGCAGAAAAAAGCCTGAAATAAGCAAACTAATTATTAAAAATGAAAAGATCTGCAGAAAAAGTAGTCTGAAATAAGAAATTAAAATCTTATCTGTCTATAGATTGTTCAGAGTCCTAGTTAAATTTATAAAAAACAAATTTAACCTGATTTTTTTTGTTACTGTTTTTTATGTCTAATTTATCCCTTCTTATTAAATATACACCAACTCTCATTAATAACATAACTACAGATATAATTATGCTTGCCATTAAAAATATCATCAACTTCTTCAGTGCCCTCAGTTTCCATTCCTTCAATTTTAACACCTTTGATT